GCACTAACTTTATAATACTATTCGCAGCCTTGTCGATTTCATCTGCCTGAAGCGCACCAATTAAATTTTCTTTCTTCGACGCATTATTAATAAATCGTAGGCAAAATGCAGTAACGCGTATTAGTTTCGTTAGAGATGAGTATCTTTCTATGATCGACAAATCATACCTGTCTGTAATTACGTGAGATACCGTTCGCGCTTCTAATAAAACTTCGTCCGCTCTACTATAGATATTATTTTCTTTCGGCCAATCAGAAACATCTTTGTGCAACCACATAGGTCCCCTCCACCACAAATTTGATTCACCGATTTTTGTAGGACAACAGCCGCGCGAAACTATATCTGCCGGGTTATCCTTGGTGCTGACGTGGTGCCACTGCGAAATCGACGTAGTTTCATGTATTTCGCCAATGCGGTGTGCAACAAATGTTTTCCATCTTGCCGATTCTGACGATATCCAAGATAAAACGACGGTAGAGTCAGACCAAAAATATTTGTGCTCAATTGGTATAGATAAACTCGTCGCGTACTTGGCCGCCAGCCGCACTAGTAGGACGGCGGCTAATAGCTCTAGACGTGGCAATGAAATTGTTTTTAATGGTGCGACACGCGATTTCGAACAAATTAAATTAGTTATGACCTCACCATTATAGTTTTTTACGCGGAGATATAGACAAGCGCCATATGCTGTAAGTGATGCGTCCGCGAACCCATGTAATTGTATATCCGCAATGTCACCATCACCCACGAGCGAACGCGTAATTTTTAACGTGTTTAAATGTATTAAATTTGCACGGCACTTGCGCCACTCGCCTTCAATTTCTGTTGGTAACGTTGCATCCCAATCTACCCGCGTTTGCCATATTTTTTGCATTATGATTTTAAAACAAATTATTACAGGGCTTATTAAACCAAGCGGATCGAAAATTGCGGCAATCTCGGACAATATCGCGCGTTTTGTTGGTCGCGTTTTGTTATTGTACATTAACACTTTGTATTGATATGCATCAATGTCTTTATTCCAATAAAGTCCCAAAATTTTTGTAACATTTTCCGTATACTGCAAATCTAAGTCATTGTTGGCACTTGGTACTGCTTCAACACCAAGCAACAAGTCGGGATCGTTGCTCGACCATTTACACAGCTCTAGACCAGCGCCCCTCAAAATCGTTATTAGGTCATCGCGTAATCTTAATGCAGACTGTTTTGACATAGCTCCGCCGAGAAAATCGTCTACATAGAAATCACGACTTAGGGCCTGACAGGCTTCGGGAAATTTTGACGACTCTTGTTCGGATAATTTTTGTAAACAGGCCGTTGCCAGGTATGAAGCGGTGACTATGCCATACGTAACAGTTTTTAGTCGATATATATTTAGTGGCTGGCTTGGGTCTTCACGCCACAAAATGCGCTGGAAATCACGTTGGCTTTCCGACACCCAAATCTGCCGGTACATTTTTTTTATATCAGCTGTGAATACGTATTTGTGTATACGAAATCGCGTCATTATAGAGACCAAATCCTCTTGTACGGTGGGTCCCTTTAGAAGCACATCATTTAGACTTACGTTAGTACTTGTTCTCGCCGACGCATCGAAAACCACGCGCAGTTTGGTACTAGTACTGCTTTCGTTGCGAACTGCATGGTGCGGTAAATAATAACTTTTATCATCTGGAATCGTGTTTTTCGTAATTTCCATGTGTCCAAGTTCGGAGTACTCTTTCATAAATTTGCTATATTCTTCCTTGAGCTTGGTATCGGTTTGAAATCGTCGTTCTAATGATAACATTCTGCGAAGGGCTACGTCATACGATTTTCCTAATCTAGGAGCATTGTCACGAAAAGGTAGACCTACTGTAAAACGCCCGTCTTCACCACGCTTTACATTTGACTCGAAATGTTGTTTACACCTTTTTTCCTCTAGTGTGTATACGTTGCAATTCTTTACCTCCTCTAAGCGCCAAAATTCGGCAATTTGATTTTCTATACTTGCGAATTCGGACATTACGCTCGTACATAATGAAAATGTTGAATTTTCTGTTTGATTTGTTGGCGAAGGGATGGGTCCCGCGATAACCCAACCTAAACGAGTGCCCTGGAAAATTGGCCCCCGTGAAACTGTCTGAATTTGTTCTTTAGTTAGTAATTCAAAATATATTTCGGCGCCTAAAATGATATCTACCTTTTTAGGCACGTGGAAAGATGGATCCGCCAAGCTTATATCCACCGGGACCTTCAGTTCTGTCAGATTGACCGGCATCAACGGTAACTTGCTCGTTAAATTGGGAAGTGCGAAAAATTCCAAATTTAATGAATAGTCGTATATACGCGATTTAATAATAGTTGTTACTTTGTACGTTGACGTATGCGATGCATCATTAATGCCGATTATTGAACACGATGACTTTATTCGGTTTAAATTTAAACGCCGGGTCAATGACTCGGTCATAAAATTGTGCTGCGATCCACTATCCAGTAACGCACGGCACAAAACCGGTTTATATTGACTGTCGAATACGAGAATCTCGGCCGTCGATAACAATACCTGACCTACTTCACTATTTTGACGTGCATGAGCATTTACCGATGCGGGTGCGCTATTAATCATTGCCTCATTAGCGATATCATTTCTATCGTTCTCCGCAGGTGGAGTGGTGTTGGACGATTCGCCGCTGTTCCCCGCACCACCCGTACGCATATTGTTATTGTTTGTGCGCGACGAATGCAACAAACCATTATGTGGACGCGCGCATTTCGGACAATTACGTGACTTACATTTGTCGGAGTGTGCGCGTAAGCATATGTTACATAATTTTAAGTCATTAATTCTTTTTATTCTCTCTAGTATTGTGAGTGCTAGAAATTTGGTACATTTATAAATTGAGTGTGAGCCATTGCAATTATAACATCTGAAAGATGTGGTAGTTGTAAATGATGAAGACCTGTCCCCTGATTTCTTGAACTTTGGAATGTCTGTTGGTACCTGCGTATTCATGTTTTTATTTGATTCTATCGCCTCCAAAATTCGAAAACGTGATTTTAAAAAGTCTATTAGTATTGGCACTCTGAAATCTTCCATCTTGGTCGCTTCGCTTTCCCATGCTCGTCTCGTGTTTGCATCCAGTTTTGACGTTATTAAATGAGATAACAATGCGCCCCAACTGTCCGGAGTTTGTCCTAACGACTCAAGCGCTTTTAAATGACCGGACACCGTGTCAATTAGCGTACGCAAATGTACTGCCGACTCTTTTTTCAGTGGCTCTAGATCAAATAACGCTTTCACGCGTACCTGGATCAACACCCTTTTGTTGTCGTACCTCCTGATTAAGCTTGTCCATGCTACTTGATAATTTTCCGCCGTAGTTTGCAGACAATGTATAACCTTTTCCGCATCTCCACTGAGACACGATCGTAAATAAAAAAATTTTTGAATGTCGCTCATCGATTTATTTTCGTGTATTAACGCCATATATATATCGTAGAATGCAGCCCACTCTGTATACACTCCTGTAAACCTTGGTATCTCGATAGCAGCTAACTTGATTGCCGACTGTACGGGCTGTAGGCTTGCATGACCATTTGCTTCGTCGTTGCTGGATTCGTTCGAAGTCCGATTAGACGGATTTGAATTAACGCCTGGCGACGCGGCTCTAATTATTTTATTGCATTTAGCTACGTTATCATAATACAACTCCTCGAACTCGCTACGGTATTTCTCGCTCTCATTAGTTATCTCGGTTTCTTCTTCTTCAATTTGCGCCTGAACTTGTTGAAAATCATGCCATGCTTCTATGGTCTTTTCCAATCTTACCGTAATTTGATCGATATCTGGACTACCTTTATTATCGCGGATATAATTTGCCGTGCGAGTTAATTGGCCTTTTAGCTGGCCCCGGCGTAAGATAAGGTTCGCCAGCTCACTCATTGTATTATCTATGTTGTAGTGTGTACTGCGTCGCTATTCTATGCGCTGTCTAATTCTACCACGCACTTTCCACTGGCTATACTTATATACGCTTATATATAATGTCAATATTAGGAATAGGTAAACGGGAAAAGGAAATAAACCCCGAAACACTAACTTATAGACTATGTGCCATTAACAACTCGCTTACCTGCCTTCGATGACCTTGACGAAGTTCTATCTTGACGAAGTTCTTCCTTGACGAAGTTCTTCCTTGTCCTTCTCTATAATGAAGTATTGTACACGCACTTTGGATTTCGCGTTTAAAATCACTGGACGATCGATTTACGCGATGAGCACTAGACGCTCTTATGAATTAAACTGCGATATTATATAATGTTATTTTGCATCAACTAAATAATCCCGGCCGAAGGACCATGTTTTTATTTCATGTTACGTGGTTTGGGTAGGTACTCATGAAAATAATTACTAGACTTGATTTTTTTTATTTTGGGTATAAATTTATTTAGCTGACGCAAACATGTCTTGAAATTACAATTAATAATACAAATATCTTAGAGGGTCGAACGACGTGCACTCGGTTGCGCGATACTATGTCGACTGACTTACAATAGTTTAATCGATCCGGTGTCCCGGTCGAGTCACCGATAACAGAGTACAACCGATAATAATAATATAGGTATAATGAGTAGTGACCGAACACACGGTAAATATTTGGACAAAACTGACTTTGAGTGTGCAAACTCTTCATAATTTTTACACGGTAAAATTATTGTGTCCAAGCGGAACATCTTCCCTTGAACGGTGTGAAATTACCGTGTAAAAAGGGTGTAAATTCTTCATAATTTTTACACGGTAAAATTATTGTGTCCAAGGCGGACATCCTCACTTGAACGTTGTGAAATTACCGTGGTGACACAAAAAAAAGACTGTGAACATACAAATCTATACTACTAATGGACTTCAGGCCATAATTAAACGTTCTAATCCGGCTGCAGTTTTTGTTTGGTGCTATGCACATCGGTTGAATTTGGTGGTTATTGATGCGGTAAGCTGTTCACCAAATGCAGTTGATATGTTCGGGATATTAGAATCTATTGATGATTTTATATGCTCAAGTAAGAAACGAGTGGCCTTATTTGATGAATTTCAAGAAAAAATATATGGAAGTACACAACGTAAACGTCGCTTCAAGCGAGTAGAAACTACTCGTTGGTGGTCCCATGATCATGCGCTCAATACTGTTTTAGACACGTTTGATGCTTTATGTGATACCTTACAAAATATCCAAAATAATGAATGTTCAAGTGATTGCAAAGGTGCTCATCAGGCTCGGAGTTTAAAATAAAATATCATGTGTGATAAATTTTTAACCACAGCCATCACATACAAAAAAATGTTTCAAATTATCACTCCTCTCTGTAAAATGCTGCAGGCCAAAGACATAGATCTTATCGGAGTTATTGATTTAGTTAAAGAAAAAATACAACACTTAGAAACATGTAGAAGTGACATAGAATTTTCCACTGTCCTTAACGAAGTTGAAGAGTTCAAAAAGTCTTCAATTAACGAATGTGAATATTTTAAGCCGATTCCACATAATCGAATAAGACGGGTACCACGTAAAGCTGACGAAATAGCTGTAGACGAAGTTATTGAAGACCCATTGCAAAATTATAAAATTAAAACATATTTTATAGCATTTGATACGGCTATTACTCAGATAAAAGAAAGGTTCAATGAAATATCCAGTGGTTTATTTAAGGATCTGTCATTATTTTCTCGACGTCGCATGGAAGAAATATCTAATGATCTCAATAAATTGCCAGTTGATGCATTTAAAGTATTTTCTGATACGTATAGTAAATTTGTTGATAGAGAAGATTTAAAAAGAGAATATGTACAATTCATAAAATGTTATTTTAATTTTGAAAAAGTTAAACTAATTCCAACCCGTCTTCATGATTCTCAATCAGACACCGAAGATGAATCTATTGACCATTTACAAAGCTACTTGGAAGATTCTCAGAGCACTCAAGAACCAGTAGAATATTTTACTATCCCCAAGCTTCCTTTAAATGGATGCAGTTTATTAACAGTATTAAAGGTTGTTAAAATAAGTGGTTTACAGTCTGTATTTCCTGTCCTAAGCATAGCTTTGAAAATTGCTGTAACATTACCAGTTGCTAGTACTACACCAGAAAGAACTTTTTAAAAACTAACAATAATCAAAAATAAACTGCGCAGTACCATGACTGAAGGTCGCCTCAGTGGCGCCGAACACGTACTTAAGGTGGTGCATTTGCACCACCTACAATTGGTGGGTGGGTACTGGCCACTGGGTGTCTGGGTCCATATAGTTTTGAAAAACTGACACTAAGTAGCCAGTAAGTACCTACTTAATACGAACTTGTTAATACTTTAATAATTGATGGCCAAGTAATTGTAGAAAGTAGAAACAAAGTGTAATAAATATTACTAATAATGCATACTAATGTTTACAAATTAAAACTATTAATATTCGGCGCTGATCAAGGTAGTACACCGTACACCGCACATGCGCACTAGATGATACAATACTCTGTATATTACTGTATATAATATATATATATATATCACTGTAGCACAGGCCGCACCACCCACCCGCATCCCGCCTGGATTTTCCGTCTATTAGTCAGTGCCGTAACTAGGCTACTTGAGGCCTGTGGTGCAAAACCAAAATATTGAGGCCCCTATTATCTTTTTCAATACACACCTCAAAAACTTTTTTTGCAATAATTTTTAAAGTCAGCAGACAAAAATTCGGGCTTAAACAAAAAAAAAAATTTTAATTTAAAATAATCTATAGTTTTAAAACAATTTCTCAAGGCTATAACTAACTCAAAAAAGTAAAAATTTTCCAAAATGTAATTTATTGAAAATATTCATATAAATATTTGGTGAAAACTTAAATTTTCTTCGGTTTTTAGTTTTCGAGTTACACCAAAAAATAAAATTTTTGGTTTTAAGTAATAGACAATATTTTAGATTCTGAGTGAAACGATGAATGTATTGATTTTACAATGATGTGTGTTTTTTTTTTTTTTTTGTGTCTGTCATCACGTTTTAGGACAGTAAAAGTGCTTGGATTTTCTTCAACAGTAGCTTTTCTGATAGGAAAGTGAATCTTGTTGGTACTTTGGGGGGTCAAAAGTAAAAGTTTCCCAGTAGTTTTCACAAGCGCCGGGAAAAACAACATAAAAATTAAGGAAAAACTGGAATTTTTACGCAAAAAATCGATTTTGGTTTTTGGTGTAACTCTAAAACAAATGAACGTATATACATGACATTTTCACTGGTTATTTATATTTGCATTTTATATACACGATAACATTTTCAAAATATTTTGATTTATTTTGAACTGTTTAGGGACGTCTTCATTTTCCATTTTTTTTAGTTTTTTTTCTAAAAATATCAATAAAATTTTATTTGTTGGTTGCGAAAGCTTGAAAATTTAATAGAAGGCTCCTAGTATATTGTTTCAAAGGCAGATGAAAAATATTAAAAATCCTTAGTCACAATTTTTTTTTATAAGCATTTAAAGTTCAAAAATTGACAAAATATGGAAAAATCACGAAAATTAGCAAATTATTTTGTGTTAAGAATTCGTAAAGATTTTTCTTTTTAAATCTAAGATTTGAAAATGTAATACAAGATTCCTTATAAGATTATCTACCTTTATCAAAAAAAAAATGTCTATAAGAAAGTCAAATTAAATTTTTATGAGCGTTTGAAATTCAAATTTTTACAACATTGGATATTCACTCGATTTCTCATGTAGCGACCACAATATATAGTTGGGGAATGGTGATGAAGCAGATGATAGACTACATGAGATTTGATCATGGAAAGGGATGAGGGTTGTTTAAACATCCGAAGTGTGTCGTTAAAATATAATAAAGACAATTGATTTGATAGTATAATTTTGTCAACTCAATAAATTATTCTGTATTAAATTGACAAAAAATGTTTGTAGTGGTGAGAGTGCCTACTTTAAAATGTATAGTAATATTTGTTTTAAAAAATAGTCTTTAGATCTTTTGAGGCCCTTCGATATATTATAAAGCCCGAGGCCTGTGTGCGGTGCACACTTTGCACACCCGGTTTTTACGGCACTGCTATTAGTATAAGGTCTATGGTTATTATTAACTATACGAACATAATAATATGTCGTATTGAGTTATTGACTATAATTGTCGACACAACAAGATGTTAAAAATACAGGAAGCTTATTAACATTACTTCAAATATGCTACTCAGCTGGGCTTCATAATGTATTCCCTACATTATTCATGGCCCTTCGTATTGCTTGTACATTACCAGTATGTAGTGTAACCACTGAAAAAACTTTTTCAAAATTAAAAACTATCAAAAATCGGTTAAGGAGCACTATGAAACAAGATCGTCTAGAGTCATTGTTAATAATATCATGTGAGTCCGATGTGCTCATAGATAATAATGAAGTGGTTGATGTATTTGCAAAATGTAGTTCAGTACTAAGCAAAAAACTTATTGGTTAAAACTTAAAATGTAAAAATTAATTATATACCTACATAATATACATGTATTTTATAGATAGATCATAAATGTATTGATTTATGTATAAAACAATATTTTATTAAAGTTTTATTGGAAATGTTGACTTTGAACCTAATTGAAAATAAAATTTTTGTGGGTGTCTAGGTAGGGGTGGGTGGGTGGTTAAAATTTGTGTTTGCACCACCTACTAAAAAGTAGTTCGGCGCCACTGGGTCGCCTTGAAAATTTAATGGTACTTTCATGTGAAAATGACATTAAAATTGACTCAGACACTGTTATTAATACATTTGCCAATAACAGCAGCTTGTTGCAAAAATCTTTATTATATTAATTTGTTATACAACAGTATGTAACCTTGTCCCATTGTGCATAAATTGTATTTATAGGAAAAATTTGTATTATATATGTATTAAAATATAATTATATTTAATAATTAGCAGAGAACATCATATATTTTATTTAAATGAGCGTTCAATACTTTAATATTAAGTTGTTGAAGATTAAATAAAAAAAAATAATTGCATTTTTTATTCAATTTTATATTTATTATTACTTCTTAATACTATAGTGATATTTATGAACAAGGTTATACAATACTACCTAAAGGGGTGTGGGGGCGAAGCCCCTGCGGGTCTGTTTTTGAAAGTGACTTGGTGGGTGGGTGGTATTTTTCCATTCAATATGCTACCCCTGTTTTTTTTTGATTGTGCGCCACTGGGTATTGGATCAATCTTTAGCTTTGATGATAGCAGTAGTAAGAACATTCACTCAATATTCTAGTCTTGGTAAATATATTAACGTTTGTTCATCTCTGATATTGAATGAACTTGGAACTGAGGTACCATTATGCATGGTTAGAAATGACTTTAACCATGTTATGCACTTAATAAGTACTTGGCCTGAAATAAAATCAAGTACTTTTAGAATAAAAAATTTTTATTTGAGGTCTATTGGGTTGATAATCGTGAGTACAAACTTTATTGATGTCAAACACTTATTAAAAATGATTTTTACTGTTGCTCTACATGAAACTGAAGGAAATAATTTTTATAATCAGTATACACAATGCGAAATAGCAAAAATTTATTTAAAACAAAGAATTGCTACCCATACAACTGATTATGATCAGATAATTATAGAAATGGACAATCTGAACGACAATACAAATGTACGAGAAGAGAATGTAACAATTAATGATATCGATAATACTATTTTCGATGAAATTAAATGTATTTATGACTTATGTGTTGAAAGTGCAAATTATGAATCGAATAGTACAGGGGATCGCGATAACATACAGTTTTGTCCAAAAATCGCAAAACATTTATTAGATTTTTGTAAATTGATACCATGTTGGTCAGCCTTAATGGTTCCAATTTTCAAATATGGAAATTTAACGGAATCAAGCTGTACGTCAGAAAGTTTGTTTAAAGATTTAAAAACCGTTGTATTCAAACACAAGCAATTACCACTTAGACTTGACGAATTCTTAAAAATACACATAAATTGTACGCTTGGCTCAATGAATATTTTAGCGGATACAAATATACAAAAAAAAGCATCAAAGGATGAAGAAACAAACAGCGCCAAGAGAGACATAAATACGATTTCGGATGAAAAAAATGAATATCAGCCAATATACAAATTTGAAGTTCAAAATGAAGCCGTGCAAAATGTAAAAGAACCAATACTTTCAAAACATTTACCACAGAAAAAAATCTCAATAGACAAATCGTATGATGATCCTACTGCACTTGAGAATTGGAAAGGATTGGGGCATCAAGTCGGTAAGAAAAAAAGAAAAGGTACGTACCTGGACAAGGATCCTACTATATTGTACTATAACGACACCAGCCGAACTAAAAGTAAAGTTATTGGACTTCTGAAAAATGGAAATATTTCAGATCTTAAAAGTATTTAAGTTGATAACAAATTATAATGTATAACAAATACGTGTGCATTTGATAGCATATTCCAAATAATGTGTAGCTCATATGTTGATAGTGACGTATATGCTGAATCGCTTAACACCAATGGTACAGATATACTTTTTAAATTGGTTATTAATGCAGTTAGAGATGGCATAACTGCACAAACATATAAAAAACGAGCTTTTTTTTTAAAGCCAATTATTTCAGATTATAAACAACCTAATGAAACACCAGATGGCCTAACTATATTAGATTCTGCATGTACAGCCAATCACATGTTTCAAAAACTATTTGAAAAATATCCATCATATACTGAAGTCAGAGAATGTTTAACTTGTAGTTATATTCAAACAAAACTATCCATAACAATTACAGCAAATTTACCTACAGAAAGTATTAATTTTATGCAAGATGTTTTAAAAAGTAGATTTGAAGAACAGAGAAAGTGTATTCAATGCGCCTCTTCTATACAACCAATATATACTTCTGGTAGGTATATTCTCATTGAACCAGTTACTAACAAACAAGGACAAAACAAAACAAAATTTGATTTACCTATTGTTTTAAAAGATATTCCTACTAAAATCAATGTGTTTGATAAGCAGTTCACTCTCAGAGGACTTATAAATTTCTTACAACCATCCAAATGTTTGAGTATGGATGCCATAGGTCATTATGTATCATACAACTGGAGAGACACGAACAATAGCTGGGAAAGATATGATGATCTATTAAATTGTATTCGACATGTAAGACCATCAACTAAAATCAATTGTCAATTTATAATGTACACTCTCTAAAAAAAACTAGGGTTTCTATTAAATTTATATTCAAAAAATTAAATTATTTATACATACCAGCGGTATCCGGACAATTTCCCCCCGGACATTTTCCCCCCGACTGTTTTTGGCGTAGTAGGACATTTTCCCCCGAAAAATGTTCCGATGCGGACATTTCCCCCCCTTTTTTTTTAATTATTTTTTTTTCATAAATATAATCAATTATACCTACTACAATCAACTTTATAAATGTATACTATAAATTTCATTTTTTTTTTTCATAAATATAATAAGACATACAAAAAAATGGAAATAAGTAAAATAGGTTAAAAATTTCATATTTTTTTTTTTTCATAAATATAATAAAAACGTAAAGTAATTGTGTAACGGTAAGTAAAATAGTTTAAAAATTTAATTTTTTTTTTTTCATAAATATAAGAAGACAAAAAATTTTTTATTTTATATATTTTTCACTTTACGAATTACGAGTTACAATCACTAAACCACTACTAAATGACTACAACTGCTTTGAACAATTTTTATACAAAAGTGAAAAACCTTTGCTCACGAAGATATAAGATTGTAGAAGAATCTTATCTTAATAGTCTAATAAATCAAATAATATGATAGTTTTTGACAGCCCAGCAATTGATATGGGTTTTAGATACATTTTTAGATTTCAATGTTACTATAGCGAATAATACAGCATGCTAGTACTATTATTTTTTATTTTGACAATCTTTTAAATATAATATTACTATTATTTTATTGTTTCAAGTAGTTGAATTGATCAAAATATACATCTACTATAATAGTAATTATAGTATAATTGATTATATTTATAAAAAAAAATTATATTTTACTAAAAAAAAATAATTTCTTATTAAATAATAATAATAAACTTAAAAAAAAATGGGGGGAAAATGTCCGCATCGAATATATATTGGGGGGAAAATGTCCTACTACGCCAAAAACAGTCGGGGGGAAAATGTCCGGGGGGAAATTGTCCGCCATTCATACCAGCATAACAAATCTATAATTTTGTGTAAATTATCTGATACATATTATGTGTCCATAAATACGTAATTTAATAATATATTAAAATATTAATACATTTGTAACTGTTGTATATTTACCCTATGAATAAAGTTATATCCCATTTTTTTTTAAACATATAGATACATATAGATACTTTCTGTGTATTCAATAAACTTTAAATTGTTACAATATCATTAATAATTTGTTTTTAATAAATGTAGGTACTATATGATTTTATTATAATATATTGTATTATATTGTTATTGTCTGATATAGGTATTTATGATAATGATATACGCATATTAAATTATTACCCACTATACTATACATTACATTTTTTGCCTTTTAATAATTTATTTAAACATTTTTCATTAATGTATTAATATATTAATGTATTATAATATTCTTATTTAAATAATATATTATATTTGTATTCAATACTTTGATATTTCGGCACACCATTGTTAATTTAAACTGTTTGTTTTAATAAAGTGATTGATATTATTTTGCATATGTTTTTAATAAAATTGTTATAAACTAATATACATTTTTGTTTTTAAGTGAGGTATTTGATGATATTTACATAGGCACGTGTTTTAGATAATTTCATTACGAAAACTATAAGAACATAATATTTCGTATGTAACGTAATTAATACAATGATACTCAATTATTTTAAAGAGTCAATGTATTCTGTTTTGAGGAGGTTAATAAAAAACTAATCGTATAGTATATTTTTTTCTAATCGTGTAATCGTACAAAATTACACTCCTACAAAATGCAAAATATGAAAATTTTTGAATTCAATTTGAAAATTAAACAACACTTTTTACATACCCAAAAAATAACTATCTTTTCTTCCAACTCATTTCAAATATAGCTTAACAAGCATTTGTGAACGTTTTTTGGAAAATGCTGCCATAAATATAATATTAAATATTATATAGATATTGGTTATACTTAAGTTTCATTTACTGAGTCAAAATTATTTTTTTAACGTTCGGCAATCATGCACTTATAATAAAAATTTTTTTTTCTAATCCACATCAGATTGATTTTCCAAAATATATAGAATGTATTTAAAGGACCCCCTGTAATAGTGTAATTATTATATCTTCAGTGTTAGGTTGTAAGTCCATTTGTTGAGTCGCAAATATTGTTTTAATTTCCTGAAATGATGCAAACTTAAAAAAAATAAAAAATTTTCTAATCCACAAGTGTATGGGTTTTTCTGGCCAACCAAATATTTTACGACTAAAGACAATAGAGATAACAATGATTATGTGGACAGTTGTGATCAGATTCACAAGATAAAATAATTTTTTTTACAAAGGGAAGTAGCTGGGATTACATTTCGGCCCCCAATTTTCAAAGTTGGACAACTTTGGAATGGGTTGAGCACAAACGACGGGGTTAAAAGCACAAACCAGCACAAACGAAGCATAAACGAATGGAGTTAATTTTGTTTTAAAGTTTCAAAGTGCGGGGTGGCTAAGCATGTCCCCAACCCCCTGACTTTGTAAGTTGAATAACTTTGGAAAGAGTTGAGCACAAACGACGGGATTAAAAGCACAAACCAGCACAAACGAAGCACAAACGAATGGAGTTAATTTTTTTCCAAAATTCCAAAGTGGGAGGCTGAGCATGTCCCCAGCCCCCCTCCTTTGAAAGTTGAATAACTTTGGAAAGAGTTGAGCACAAACGACGGGATTAAAAGCACAAACCAGCACAAACGAATGGAGTTAATTTTGTTCCAAAATTCCAAAGTAGAGGCTCTAAGCATGTCCCCAGCCCCCCTACTTTGAAAGTCGAATAACTTTGGAAGGAGTTGAGCACAAACGAAGGAATTAAAAGCACAAACCAGCACAAACGAAGCACAAACGAATGGAGTTAATTTTTTTAAAAAATTCCAAAGTGGGGGGCCGGGGACATGGAGCTCAGGACCGTGTGAGGCAAAAACTGCTATAGGCTGTACAAAATTCTCAGCTAGACTTTGCCACATAAACACAAGTCCGTGATTTGCTTTTTTATCACTGTCTTTTTTGGATTCTATTTCCTCACCAAAATCCTCAAGTCCAGTGTAAGTTAGTTCTCTAGTATTAACACTTACACCTTCTCGTAAACTAATTTCATCAAAAAGTAGAATACCTTTTTTTTCAAAATTATTCTTGGTTGCAAATCTTTTAGTTAAAAGTTTGTATAAATTTTTATCAAAACCACATCCAATTTCTACTGCCAACAAATGCTTTCTTATAGTATTAATACAAGGAAGTGGTAATATATTCTGCTCTCTCAAAAACTTATATCCACTAGGAGATCTAGAAAAAAATACATTTTCTTCAAAAATACATCATCAAGTATTTTTTAAATTATTTTATTAAATCAAAATTGTAAATTTACCTAATTTGGAACAATAAACACAATAACATCCAGTTCTCGCTGTACCTACGGTTTTTTGGAATTTTTAATTTTAGAAGCGTTAAATATTTCATATAATAAGTCAGATTGGTATTTTGGTATATTATTGTTTTGAATTATTTGCTCGAGGCTGTTATTAGTCATTTCGTTTATTTTATTTTTTATTTCGTTTAATGTAAATTCTAAATTTGTAATTTTGCGTTTTGCTCTAAAAAGCCTTTTGGTGACACCTTTTTTAATTCTTTTTAAATTCATAAATTGTTTTTTTTTTTGTTAGGTGAAAAGAAAACTTTTGAAGATTTTCTATTTAATTTATTTTTAATGTTGTACAGTAACCTTTTACACCATAACACATGCCACTGCAAATATTAGATTAATCAGTTAAATTTGTATTATATTTTTTCAATTGTATGGACATGTTGTTTTTTTTATAATATAAGAAATGTGACTATATAGTTACTTGGTATTGCTTTTAAGTAGTACTGTACATTTAGAATGATACCACGACTCGTTAAATTCTGTAATCTGTGGTCCAAGTTTAGATTTAATATCTGGAGTATTATTAAAATTATCACAACCATTGCAAATGTTTACATTATGCAGTAATAATAATACATTTTCTAGGTCTTCAATACATTTTATAGAATTTGAAGACGACCAACCAATATCTTCTGTTGTAATTTGTTTATCATAAACATAGACAATCAATCTTAAATCTATATTTAAAATTAATAAAAATAAAATAAATATTAGTATTTACCATTTAGTTAGTTTAGTAATTACTTACCTTCTGTTAAAACAAGTTGTTTTTCTATACTTCTTAAAAAAGTTTTTCTTAAACTTCCTAATTTATAAAATCCAACAAATTTTTTATTCGGATTATCGAAATGTTGAACATCAGAAAACCAATATGATGGAACATTTATCATTTTGATCATCTTTACTATATACTTAAATACAGCTGAAGGCTTCAATAGTGATATCTATAGACACGTGTAATATACATAATGTTTATAAGTACTAAAATATAAAAATACAAAATATCTTAACTATTTAACTTTTTTATCATTAACACTTACACTGTTACTGTTTCCTGCTTTGGAACATTCATCATCAATATCAATATTAAATCTATTGTTCATATAGGTCGTTGGGTATCCAGTATATTTTAATTCGTGCTGTTAAGACATAGAGTATCATAAAGGCGCCGTATCGATAATTATTGAGGCGACCAATGCCTCCTTTTACAGTGTGACTATTTTCAGTGAAACAAATTATGTATAACATTGACCGCACCAAGTCGTCGTTTTCAGTCCATTATGGCATCATATCTTAATTCTTAGTCCGTGATTGAGATTAAATTTTTAAATATATATTAAATAAGCCGTACTGCCGTTATTTTATGGGAATAAAAGTTAAAGTATATTGTATAAATGTATTAATGTATAATTCTATAATATTATATATAGAGTGTATTGGAGTTTCTTCATATATGGCTGTAACTAAGTTAATGTTTCAAGAATTTATTTTACTTAAATATATTAATTTCTATCCATCTCTTAAAT